AGTTGTGAGTCAAATGCTTGATCTTATCAACTGTCTAAGTCGGCGTTCTATGGCTGTGCAGGGACACCACGGTCATGGCAACTCTTCTAAAGGACAACATTTAATTGGGGCTGGCTCACAGTTTCAGAGGTTTAGTCCTTTATCCTTTTGGTGGGGTGTGGCAGCGTGCAGGCATGGTGCTGGAGAAGGAGCTGAGAGTTCTATATCCAGATTCACAGGCAGCAGGGAGAGAGACACTGGGGCTGGCTTTGGCGTTTGAAACCCTAAAGCCCAGCCCTGGGGACACACTCCCTCTAATAAGTCCACACCTACTTCAAACCACACCTGCTTCAAAAAGGCTGCACCTCCTAACTCCTTCTCAGTTAGTGCCGCTTCCTGGTGACCAAGCATCTACTCATCACCAAAACCACTTCACTGGAAGGAGCCACTCACAAGGCACCGACCGGAGCCACCAATGATCTTACGCGCACAACGGACACTGCTGTCTCTCGTGACCTCTCTGCTACATTTACTTAGGGACTCTACTTTCCTCCAGAAGTTCCATTTATCTCCACGGAATATAATAAACTACACTCTCTAGTCTCTCTCTGGAGTAAGTGGGGCTGCTTGCCTAGAGTGTTGACTGCTGGAAGCTGAGGCGTGTTTTCTGCTAGTGTGTGATGGGAAGACTTCAGTCCCCTGAGTAACTACTCCAGGGCCTCCCCTCCCCTCCCAGCTGACTGCAGTGGAGTATGACATGAATAAGAAATGAAGCTTGCTGGTGCTCTACACGGATGTTTGGGCGTGCTGTTGGTCACAACGGAAAGCGGTGCCCGGTACTCCTTGCCTCCTTTGGTGGTGCTCTTTTGCCCCATCTCGGTCTCATTCCCGTGTCCTACCTTTGTTTTCCTGTGCTCTGCTATTCTTTGAACTTTGCCCTGACTGCTCATGTATTAGAGGCTTGCTCTCCAGCAGGTAGGCCTTAGGACACGAGTGGATTATGAAGATTAACCTCACTGGTGGACCGAGCCATTGATGGAGTCACAGCTCGGAGGTGTTATTGATGGATAGGTGGTGGGGTCCAGCAGGACAAAGTGGGCCTCTGAGGTGTGGCTTGGGAGAGTGCATCTTGGTCCTGATGCCGTTTTCTCCTTCTGTCTGCTTTCTGGTGGTGAGGAGGTAGTTTCCCCTCACAGTGACATTCCACCGTGTTTCTGCCTTTTTCTGAGCCAGCAGTGGAGTCAGATAACCGTAGACTAAAATTGTGACTTTCAATTGTTTCCCTAAGGTATTTTGAGTGACGCAAAACTAACATGAGCACCTTTACTCATTCCTTAAATATTTCACATAAGTTCCCATAGGCCACCCTTTCCTTTCTCAGCAGACTCCTATCTTATCTGGTTTTTGATATGGTAAGAGTGCAACAGTAGACGCATGTCTTTTTTCCATGGTGCTGATTGCATGTATGTGAGGTTGCACCTGCACACATGCATGCCTGTGGAGTCCTGACATCGTTTCTGCTGTCTCCTCCATTGCTTTCCACCGCCTGTAGTCAGCAGTGTCTCTTGCTGCACCTGGAGCCTGAAGATTCGTCAGTTCCTGGCAGCCAGCTTGTTCTAGAGAGCCCCTGCCTCTGCCTGTCACGGATGGACCCGATGCCGTGTCCACCCTGCTTTTACATGCGATCATGTCACACAGCATGTGCTTTGCCACCTGGGTCATCTCCCGTACACATGTTATGGTTTAGATACAGTTTTTACTGTCTGTATGTTAAGGTTTAGATAGTTTTTACTGTCTGTATGTTAAGGTTTAGATAGTTTTTACTATCTGTATGCTGAACCTATTTTTTGTTTTAAACTGAGCTTCTTGAGGCTAGTCATTCTTTCATTCTTTTTGTTTTTTCATCAACAGGGCTTCTGTGTAGTCCTGGCTGTCCTGGGACTTTCTTTATAGACCAGGCTGGCCTCGAATTAAGAGCCACCTGCCTCGGCCTCCTGGATGCTGGGATTAATGGTGTTCACCATCATGCTTGGCTCTCATGAGGTTTTGTTTGTAATTTTAAAAACCTTTATTTTTTTCACCCCCCCCCACTACCTACTAAATTGAGAGTTCCTTTGTTGGACTATAGAAACTCATTTACTCAAGACTATTTATAGACTTAAGATAGATTTTAAGATATACATGTGTTTATAGGAGCTCTCCATATATCTACATATCTTTCTATACCTATAGAAATAGATATATAGAGATATGTAGATATGTATAGATATGAATATATGGATAAATAGATGATATATTAGAAGTGTGCTCTGAAGACCCATGTGTAAAAGGCCGAGTTCCAGTTGAGGGCCTTTGAGTTTTGCAGAATAGGGCATCACTTGGGGCTAGAGAGAGGTTAAAGCCCTTGGTGTTCCTGTAGAGGGACCCAGGCTCAGGCTCCACCTCCCACATGGCCACCTATAAACACCTACAGCCCCAGTTCTGTGGCGTCCCTGGGCCCTCACTCAGACCTCCTTGGCACCAGGCATGAAGCTGATGGTACACAGCCACACCTTCACACAGAGCCACTTCCCAAATTCTTTATAAAGTGCTTCACTCTCAACCAGTTGGCTGAAGATGTGCGCACATTTATGTTTTGTGTATCCGTTTGTGCACAGGAAGGGGGGCTTGCCTTTTGAAACAGCCCAAAGGGTCATGCGACCTTGAGGAAAACAAGTCTCATCTCTCCTTGCCACTTCAGGTTGTAGTCACCTTCAGCAGGTTACAACAGCGCGCGCCCAGGTGCCAGCAGTTACAAGCTAGTGAAATAACCAGTGTGGGCAGTGAAAACGTCTTGCTATTTGGAATACGTCTGCTGCTGCTGCTGCAAAGGCAGAGGCGCCATTTTTTCTGCAAAGATTCTCTCACACTTGCCAAATAAACGGTATATTCTTCTGAACGTCGGTATCTTGAAGGCTTGGAGGTGCACAGTTCATGACTATTGCTTAGCTAGTGAAAACTTTTAAAGTTTTTCTTGAAAAAAAAAAAAAGAAAACCAAAAACAAACAACCAGCCAAGCCAAAACTTCAGAGAACCCAAAAGAATTCAGTGAGGCGGGCCTAACAGATTGTCCTAGAACGCTTAGTTCACCTTCCAACAGGTTAGGGACTTGTTGGCTGGGTTGCAAAAGCGAAGGGAATACCTCTAATTAGTGCTCTGCCTCCCTCAGAATGCTGATGCTCCTTAAAAGGGAGATTTAGAAGACCCCTCTGGGGGGTGGGGGTGGGGTATCTTATCGACCGTCTGAAGAGTCGGCCGGCGTCTCACAGGATGTTTCTCTTGTGCGACTGCAATCTGGACAAGCCAGGCCTGTTCCACAAGGCAGAAGGGTCCAAAGTAGTCCAAATCCTGGGGGGCTCCTTTAAGAAACCATTGACCCGGCCCAACGGGGTGGCTACACCTGAGGCTCTCTCCGGGTGACCACCAGGCACCCCCTCCCCCCAGCTGCGGGCCCGTTTAGCATCCTGAACCCGGCTGCCGGCGTCCCCTCTCCCCTCCGGTGAGGACTGGGCATCCGCGGGGGCGCTCTTTCTTAGCGGGTGCCTTCGACAGTTAGGAAGGAGGACATGGAGTTTTCTGGCCAACCAGTGACGGGCGGAGGAGAGAGGGGAGATAGACAACACACAGAGAGGAGAGAGACAGAGGGGAGACAGAGAGAGGAGAGAGAGGGAAGAAAGAGGGGGAGAGAGAGAGGAGAGACACAGAGGGCAGGCACACAGACACAGATAGACAAACACAGACACACAGAGAGAGGAGAGAGAGGGAAGAGGGAGAGAGGGAGAGAGAGAGAGAGGAGAGACACAGAGAGAGACAGAGAGAGATGGAGGGAGGGAGAGGGAGGGGTGGGGGGCCTGTACCACCTTAAAGGGCCTAGCCAGGCATGCCTAGCGCTCGGGTCTCGCAGAGTTCGGCCGCCACCATATTTGGAGCGTGCCTACTTTGGGGCGGGAACCTCCTCGGGAGCGATTAGGTCACCGCTTGGGGGTGGGAGGTGACCTTGTATGGCTCTTGGCACCCGACAACAGCGGGGGCCCTGTCTCTGCCGCACCCCCTCCCCAACCTCCCCCTCCCCAGCCCCGGTGCAGGCAGGTCTCACCGGTCCCAGCGAGCCGCCCGCCCGCCCGCCCGCTCGCCCATCGGCTCGCCCATCGGCTCGCCCAGCCGCTCTCCAGGCAGGCCGGCCGGCCGGCAGGCAGGCAGAGGCGGGAAAGCCGCGCGCCTGCGCCGTGGGAGCCGAGGCCGGAGGCGAGAAAGCGGGGAGCGGGGCGGAGGGGGCCGTAGGAGCCGGGCGGCGTGCAGGGCGGGCGGGCGAGCGGGCGGCGTGTGACGCGGGGACGCCGCCGCCGCCGCGCGCTCCCAGCGTCGCCCCGGTTTTGACGCACACGGCACCAAACTGTGAGTTTCGGGGGGTCTCGGTTTTCGGTCGGGGGTCCGCCGAGGCCGCCTCCCACCTCCCGCGCTCCCCCCCTCCCCAGGCTGGGTCTCGGGGCGGCCCGGGCCGAGGCGGTGGCGGGGAGGAGGGCGGAGGGGGTTGGCGGGAGGAGTTGCGGGGTGGAGGGACACACGCGCACACACACACACACACACACCCGGGCCCGCCGGGCGCTCGCGCGCGCCCGGGGCCGCTCCGCCCGAGCCTGGCTCCCGACCCTCGGGAAGGACGCGCTCGCTCCGCCGCACACGCTAAGATGGCGGCGGCGGCCGGGGCCGAGGAGGCGGAGTTGCTGCTGTCGCTGCTGCTGCTGTCGCTGTCGCTGCTCCAGCGGCACAAGGAGCCCGGGCCGTGTTGTCCCGGAGGCGGTGGCGGCGGCGGCGGCGGCGGCCGAGGGGGGCCGCAGGGAGCGGCGGAACCTTAGGTGAGCGGCGCCGGCCGCCGCGGGGCGGGATTCGGCGGCGGACGGGCTGGGCGAGCGGGCGGGGGGGGGGGAAGGAAAGGTTGGTTTTCCGCTCCGGCGGCGGCGGCGGCGGCGGATCCGGTGTCGGACACAAAGGGGCCGAGCCGGGCTGTAGACCCGGGGCGGGCGGGTGTGTGTGTGTGGGTTTTGTTTAGTCACATGCAGCGGAGCAGCCAGTGAGCGGTAGCGGGAAAAAGGAGGAGGAGGGGTGGGCGCCGAGACCCGGAGGCCCCGGGCGAGCCTGGCGGTCGCCATTGTAACGCCCCGAGTTAACGGGGGCGGCCCGAGGGCGAGCGGAGTGCTGGATGCGGGGCTCCCGGAGCTCCGGCGTTGAAAGTGTCCACACCCCTGCCCGCCCCTGACTTTGGGACGAGATCACGCAGCCCTCACCCCCACACACCCCGCCCCAACCCTTCTCCCCACTGGCCTGCAACGTCTCGTGCCGCTCAGTGCCTGGGAAGTAACTCCAAGAGGTAAAAACAGAACAAAACAAGAGGAAAAAGAAAGAGAGAGAGAGAGAGAGAGAGAGAGAGAGAGAGAGAGAGAGAGAGAGAGAGAGAGAGAGAGACAGACAGACAGACAGACAGAGAGAGAGAGACAGAGAGAGAGAGAGAATTCACTGGAAGTGTGTGGGTCGCCAGGAGACTGGTGGGTATCCAGCTTAAAGCTCTTTGCCTCTCCAGGTCTTGATCCCTTGGCCTTTGTGTCCCTGGGAGCTTAACCTCTCTGCCCGCGGAAAAAAAAGCAGGTGTTGCTCCGTCCACCTCTCCCGTGAAGGAGAAGATGAGTTGCCCCGGGCCCTCCCTTCCCCGAGGTCGGAAACTTAGGTGCTGTCTCTGGTCCCGAGACTTCCACAGACGACTCTCTCGTGTCGGGATCCGTCGTCCGCGGTTTAGCGACCTTAGTGGAAGAGTTCCCTTCGACCGCCTTTAAGTAATGCTGACTTGAAATGTCGTGGTTGCAAAACTTTTTTTAAATATATATATACATATATATATATATATAGTCGCTTTCAGTTTCTACGTGATAAACTCAACGAGGGGAGGGGGGATGCTCACAGCTCTGGGGGTTGGGGTGGGCTGGGGAAGCGCCCCCCCCAACGATGGTCTTGTTCTGTATTGTTACAAGTTCAGTTTTCCACAGAAGTAGCCAAACACCCATCATGTGTCTGTTCTGGCCAGCCCTGATGCCAAATTTAACTCAATCTGGGGTCGGTGGGGGGTGGGGGTGGGATGGGGTGGTGTGTGTGTGTGTGTGTGTGTGTGTGTGTGTGTGTGTGTGTGTTAGATTTGCCTTAATTGTGCCCCACGAAGGGAAGCATTTCAGAGCCTAAACTATTAAAGTACGCCCAAAGCAAGGAAACCTGCTTCGGTGCCCCAGGTTAGCATCTGGGGAATGTGATGTCAGCCCTGCTGTGTTTAGGGTTAGGCTTGGTGAGACACTGAGGTTCTTTAGCGAAGTTAAGGCTCAGCGCTGATATGGAGGTTTGCGGACCATGGATGCCTGGCTGGTACCACTGCAGTGATTTGTATATTGTTGTTAAAAAACAAGACAAAACGGTGACTGTAAGTTTTACGTCATGCATTGATTGTATTGGATATTGAAGCGTGTATTTCAAAAGAGCTGGCGCCTTGTATCTGCCATTAATGTCATTAGCTGAAGGGATATTTGAACACATTTAGATCATTAACGTGGATTTGAACTTACTTAAAACTTTGGTTTTCCCTGTTTCTTTCCAGTTGTGTGTTTTCCCTTAGCATTCTTTCTCATACGTAACAGCTAACAGGTGCACTGCTGGCCCGCAGTTTTACCAGAGGCAGAGCTCTAAGCTACTGTTCTGACCGTTCTCTTAGCAATAGGTCGAGCATGATGAGTAAGCGGGGTAAAGGAAGATGGTCCTTCCACTCCTATCCTATTCCTGGTTTTGCTAGCAACTGGTAATGCTTTTAAAAACAAAGGAATTAGTGAGGGTTCCCATTAATTACGTAGTGTCATTAGTGAGACTGCCTGTGACAATAAATGTAATGTTGGAGCAGTGTTGCTTGTATATGAATGTTGAGGTTTTTCCCAAAGCAGACTTTGACTCAGAAATGTAAAAATTACAAACAAAACCCAAAAAAACATGTGTTTGACAATTCTTGGAAAGTTTGAGATAACTGCCATTATTGCTAGAAATTGCTAAGAAATGAAATAGGTGCTGAAAACCTTTCAGTTTGTACTGTTTGGTTGGATAAATAAATATGCTTCTTAGACTACTATTTAAAATGACCTTTTAAATGACTACTGCTAGTACAAGTTTTTGGAAATGCAACAAGTGGTAAAATCATCTCTGGTGGGAGCTCACGGTGATTTTTTTTTGTGTGTGTGTTTGCCAACTTTACAAAAACAGTTGGAATTGTTGTTTAGGCTTGTAAGGGTTGTTTCAAGTACGTTTTTTTTTTTTTTTTTTTTTTTTGGTTTTTCAAGACAGGGTTTCTCTGTGGCTTTGGAGGCTGTCCTAGAATTCGCTCGGCAGACCAGGCTGGTCTCGAACTCACAGTGATCCGCCTGCCTCTGCCTCCCGAGTGCTGGGATTAAAGGCGTGCCTTTTAAGTGACGTTTTCTCCCCCCTCCGCCCCAAGAGGGTTGAAAGGCTGGTTCAGATTTCTAACCCCTAGTGTAGTCTTGTGGTGGCCAGGGTTGCTTCCTGGGTATTTGTGATTGTAAAGTGACTGTCCCTTGCACGCCTTCAGGGCTTCCCAGGTGTTTTAGTTTAAGTCCCAGGTGAGTTTGAGTTAAAGTGAGACTGATGGGTATCAGAAGTACTAAAGAACAACTAACTAGAGAAAATGGTGGTGTGCCTGTCATGCCAAAGACACGGTTCTGTAGGATTAGTAGTTTGCACTTTTTTTTTTTCTTTTTGGTTTTTCGAGACAGGGTTTCTCTGTATTGTTTTGGAGGCTGTCCTGGAACTAGCTCTTGTAGACCAGGCTGTCCTGGAACTCACAGAGATCCGCCTGCCTTTGCCTCCCGGAGTTCTGGGATTAAAGGCGTGCGCCACCACCGCCTGGCAGTAGTTTGCACTCTTACAGTTAGTTCTGCAGGGTTAGTAGTTTGCACTCCTGTTACAGTTCTGTAGTTAGTAGTTTGCACTCCTTACAGTTAGTTCTGCAGGGTTAGTAGTTTGCACTCCTCTTACAGTTAGTTCTGTAGTTAGTAGTTTGCACTCCTTACAGTTAGTTCTGCAGGGTTAGTAGTTTGCACTCCTCTTACAGTGTGGCTCTGGGAGAACTCAAGTGTTGCTTGTCCTAGAGAACTATCTCAGGGCTGCTTTCCGGGCAGACACATGGGAAAGGGTTTGGCGTGTAGTAAGTGTAGACATGGCCTGTTGGATTGTCCCATCTGAATTTGTAGAAAAAAATTTTAGCAGTCTTTATAGAAAATTAAAAGGAAAAAATTTAAATTGGTGGCTTTGTAAAATCAAGTATTGAAGTGAATGGTGGATGTTATAATTTGGATATTCATAGGTCTTAATGTTTCTCTGCATTTATCTGGTATAGAGATGTATTTTGTACCTGGAAAATCTGTGTAGACGTTGAGCAGTTTATGAGGTGCTGTTTGTTATTGGAGCTAAGTAGGAGGAGACAGCTAGCTGCTTTTAATAGTGCCAGTTAGGCCATCGAATTGGGGGTTTTTAAGCTGGCTTACCCTGCTGGCTGGCTGAAGTATCTCTCCCCCTCTCTCACAAACAAGTGCCTCATGAGATCCAGAGGGCAGAACATCACCTTTGGGTTGAATCTTCTAATGGGGAGTGGAGTCCTTGTGAAAGGGTGTTTTCTTGTGTCTCGAGGCCTCAGTTTTTCTCAGCTCTCAAGGCTGACCTGTAGGGTTGCTTCTTGTTTGAACTTAACCTGACTCTTGGGTGATGATGGGTTGCCTGCTTCTGTGTTTTTAAATTGAAGATCTCCAAGATTAGAGACTTGCCACACTTGTAACCCTCTCATTGCTGTAGCTAAGGAAGGATTGTGAATTTGAGGCTGACCTGGGTATAGATACAGCGAGACCTTTGGCCACTCTACCTTCCTAGAAACCCTCTCCCAGTTGATTGATATTAACAACAAACAAACAAAAAACCCCAAAAGTCCTGTGAGGTAACTGTAGCTCTCCAGGAGAGCAAAGGCTGGGGTTCCAAGAGGAAAAGAATGACTTTCTTAGGTTGGGGGGAGGGAGGCTGGGGTAGGGCTACTTTTTCTTAAGGAATTGCCTCTGTGCTAATCTTTGACTTTTCTATCTGCAGGGAATCAGTCAGGATTCTTGGGCTGTTTTGTGAGTAAAAGTGCAGATAAGCGATTTATTCCAGGAAACTCAATTCATAGTTTAGATTGTGGGAGAATTGAAGTTGATTAGAGTGATACATAAGATTTATGTATTACACCTCTCAGCATATGTCATTCATTTATGTACAGTGTTAGAAAACCAAGGTGGGTGAGTCTTGAGAGTAAAGTACTGTTGACCAAACATGCTTACCTGTATTGTGTCATTTACTGAATTTTTAAAATTCTGTGGCTTTTTTGTTTGTGTTTCTTGTTTCTCTAAATAGCTTTGGATGTTTTGGAACTCACTATATAGACCAGGCTGGCCCAGAATCACAGGGATCCATCTTCCTTCCAAGTGCTGGGATTAAAGGTGTTTAACTAACCACTTCTGTTTCAGTTACTTTGTGATTTTTCTTTTTGGTTTTTCGAGACAGGGTTTCTCTGTATTGTTTTGGAGGCTGTCCTGGAACTCGCTCTGTAGACCAGGCTGGCCTCAAACTCACAGAGATCCGCTTGCCTCTGTCTCCCGAGTTCTGGGATTAAAGGCGTGCGCCACCAATGCCCAGCCACTTTGTGATTTTTTAAAGGTTACTATTTTAATCTTCTTCCAAAGTGTTTATTTGCAAACACACATATACATGCATTTTTATCAATTTCCTAAAAGTGTTAGATATAATTGGTACTTTCAGACCACCTTTAATTGGAGAGGAAGGGTGATCTCAATTTGTTTGCAAATGCTGGAGTTGGGCCTGATTTCATTTGCTAATGCTGACAGATACAAAGTGTGCGTGTAAGCGTGCATACATATCCATAGTTGAGGCAGGAAAGGATAAAGTTTAGAAATAGGAGCCTTCAGGTGAAAGTGGCAATGTTCAAATTTAGCAGTGTGGGCACCACGGAAGTGGATATGACTGCAGTACCATCTTAGAATTCTATCAAGTTAGCTTCCTGGCCCATAATTCCTAGTAAATGTTGCCTTATAGTAAATGGTAGCTATTGTCATTGTTTACTCTTCCTACAAAGACTCAAACTTTTCACCTGAGGCCGTTTTAGAATTGTTTGCTTCTGTAAATGTCACCTTTTTAAGGCTATAGCTGAGAATGTTCAAAGGACTGTTAGACCAGGCATAAAAGAGTATGTACTTACTCTGGTTACAGTTCAGTGTGCTCCACTCACAGCTGGAAGAGGATGAGCAAGTGCATTTTAGTGTTGACGCCTTTGTTTACAGCAGTCTGAACTTCATTGCTGTCCTTTAAAGTTTTGCTCACGTGGCAGTGACCGGGAGAGGAGAGAAGAAGGGGAATTGGTTCTGTGCGTTTGCATGCAGTCCTAGGCAATAGTAAGGAGGCAGCCAGAGAGATGGCTCATGGGTGCCTGCTGTGCAAGCATGGGGACCCCAGGGTGGATTCTCAGTGTGCTTGTGAGAGCCAGCCGAGGCATGTGAGTGAAACCCCTAGGCTGGTCCAGACATAATCCTTGTAGCTCGTGGGTCTTGAGTTCTGGTTTAGTGAGACATGCTGGCCTCTGGCCTCCGTGTACATGTGCATGCATACCCAGTGTAATACCATCACCCCCTAGACAAAACAAGCAAGAGGCAGGAAATGTGATCTTTTCATTGGGTTTTTTAAATATCTGGGA